TTGGATGGGAGGCCTTTATCTTGTATCCTGAACATCCCCCTTGTTCTCCAGTTTTTATATTCCTTAAATTTTCTGGTGAGCAGAACTGTGGGTAGTTCAGAAACAGCCATTAGGAAAAAGCAGTACAGTAAGATTTTTACACAATGTCTTCATGCCTGGAAAGAATATAAGTATAATAATTTCATCAAGTTGATTCCAACTTATGAAGACCCTTTCCACAGTTTTCAAGGTATGGAGTGCCCACTATCTGGGGAAAGGGGGCACCACTGGTCAGTGTTTGATAGTGCATTTGGAAGCATCACCTTGGGATCTTCCAGTGGACAAATACTCCAACAAAAATAAAGAGAGGAGCACAGAAACATGATGCAGCTAGAGTTCTGTAGTGTTAAGAGATCTTTTCAATGTTAAACACCATATGAGGACTCTGACATATTTAAAAAGCAAACTGGTGTACATAATGCATCTTTTCTGTCCCCAGAAGAAAAACATTTGGCATAAGTATGGGTGTCTGATGGCACCAGGGATCACAAAGACAGCTTTGGAGGTTGCATGTGGGTCCTGGGCCACACTTTGCCTACCTCAGTATAGAGCACACCCTAGTTTTTGGCATTCATCCCATTTGCCAAGTGACATTTTCCACCACACTTTATTTATGCTTGCTAACTGAAAACCTATAGGCACAGGTTGCTGTTAAGAATGCAGGATATGCAACAATGGGCTCAAGTTAAAGGAAGCCAGATTTCAGCTGAATATCAGGAAAACCCTCCTAACTGTTAGAGCAGTACGACAGTGGAACCAGTTACCTCGGGAGTTGGTGACTTCTCCAACACTGGAGGCATTCAAGAAAAACTTGGATAACCACCTGGCAGATATGCTTTGATTGTATTCCTGCAATTAGCAGGGGGTTGACTTGATGGCCTTGTAGGCCCCTTCCAACTTCACTTTTCTATGACTGTATGACTGTCAGAGTGAATCACCAAATTAAATCTATCTCTAGAATAAAAATTGTGAACAGCAGTGTGCCCTATGACCATCTGACAACAACTTTCATATCACCTTTAATTTTTAAAAAAATTAAAAATATATCAGAACTTACCGTATTTTTTGCTCCATAAGACACACCTTTTCCCTCCAAAAAGGTGTGTAGGGGGAAAGTATGTGTGTCTTATGGAGTGAATACAGCAAAAAAAGGTTTCAGCCACCACCACCCAGAAGCCTCCCACTGCCATGCTGGGAGGCCTCTGAACTGGCACCAGAGACTGCTTGCTGTTTGGACCTCACCATTCTGCACTGCTAACTTTCCAGGATCTCCTTCCTGCAGCCCACCTGGAAAACCAGCAAGGCCAACAGGCCTATAGCAGCAGGCAGTGAAAACAGCCAAGGACCAAAGGGGAAAGGGTGATTCTAGAAAGACCAGGGGAAACCACAAACACAGTCCCCCACTTAGGCAGTTGATTTTCCCACATTTGAGGAAATCACAGGGGTCAGCACATCCAGAGTGCAATAGATGAGCCTTACCCTGGGAAAACCACTCTTACAATAATGATATATCCCCTGCCAGGTATGAGTTAGAACGGCCCCTGAACCTCCTGCCCCTTTCTGTGCCCTGCCCTCCAAAGACATGGTGACCCCCGGCTGCATCTCCTGATCAGAACAGGGCTGCACAGCCCCAGTTCCGCAAGAGGCCAGGAGAGCTCTTCAGTGTTTTGGGGTGCCC